AGATTTTATAATTTAAATGTAAACATTAACTTTTTCAATAAATATTTGAAATTTTGAACGCATATAATATTTTCGTGAATATCAAATTTTAATTTCGATCACGATCACGATCGCGATCACGAAAAAACCTTCTGATCACGCCTGATCACGCAGTACACTAGTTCTCGATTTCGACGAATTTGTTCAATTCGACTTTATCTAATACTTGTATAACATTTTGTTGTGTTCCCTCTCTTTGCTGGTAAACTTCAAAGTTGCTTGCAGCTAAAATATGACCCTGGCTTTGTAGACGTTCGTCGAAACCTTTTGATTTATCAAGAGCTTTTCCCCAATTTTGAAAACCATTATTTACAAATGCATCAGTTTGAGGTTTTTTATTCGAGGATGACATTAATGCACCAAAGTGTCCACAAATATAACAATAATAACTATTGGTTTTGCTAGAGTATTCCAACCATTTCAATATTAATATTTTGAGTCGACTTGATTTGAAAAGTTACAACAGGTTCGCCATTAGTACTGTCACATGTATTTGAATCAAGTGTTTGTAAAGTCAAATTTCGGTTATTATCATCGACTGATTGTGATAGTATAGATTTACTCTTCTTTTGAATACATGAAGAAAAATAAGAATCAAGAGTTTTTCTTTTATTATTGTCCATAGATTAACGCTGTGTTATATTCAAAAATGTAAGCTTGTGATTTATTTGAAATTTATATGCGACAACATCCGCTATTCACGATTTGTAATTAAATAAACTATGTATGTTCTTAAAGATATTGCCTTCGTTGCTCTTAGACTAATTGTTACATACTTGTTTATTAGAAGTGCGAAATGGTTCAAAGAGCAAGCGAATATCCACTTTCTCGTTCTATTTTATTAGAGAGAAGCAAAATATACAATATTTCATCCTTCAGGCGATAANATACAATATTTCATACTTCAGGAGATAAATATCTAAGTTTTTAAATTTGAAATTAGAAATTTCGGTAGGGGGGGGGCTCAGCTTCCCTTTGGTTACGTCACTACTTCTCATAGTTCTTGAAAACGTTGAGAGAAGATCATGAAACTAAAATAAACGATCAGGGGAAATGTTAGGATCCTTTTTTGCCTATTTAATACCTATGTATACCAGCGCCAAAATCTTAGTTGCTTGTTACAGACTTTGATAAGTGGATATACAAATAGGCGCATATAAGAATCTCAGCTAAAAGACGGCTGCTATTTTAATGCTAAGTAAAAAAACTACTTTTGCTAAGTTTTTTATTTTAATTCTAAGTAAACAAGGTCAATTTTCTAGGCAAATATTGTAAATATCTAAGTAAATATACAGTTTTTGTTAAGTAAAGTGACATAAATAACTAAGTAAAAAAAATTAATTGTACAATTATTGTAATAAGAGAGCTTTTGTTGCTTTTTGTGGTCGTCCTCGTTTCCTTTTTTCACCCAAAGGTATGTCTTTTGATGATGGCGGTGGCCTGCAAAACTTTAACCTAATAGCCATACCAATAATATGCTTGCAAATGTATTCTTTGAAGAAGCTTGGACAATTGCAAAGCCCGTTCTTCCATTCAATTCTGATCCATTGTCTGATAAAGTGACTTTCCATATTCTAAATTGAATATCTTTAAATTGATCAAATGACGTCCATTTTTTTCTTTTATATCTCTGAATTTCATTTGGTGTAACATTGTCAGCTTCGCCAGCTGGGATATAGTAATCAACAAAACCTTTTTTTGTAGATGACATTTGTAATATTGATTTTGATGATTTTGCAAAATGATATGCATTAGTGCATTTCTGTAACGTAATTGTTGGCTCTGTTGAAAATATGATTGCATCTGTTTGATTCGGATTACGAGATGTAGGCCATCTATTAACGATACCATTTGCAATTGTAAAAAATCTTGATAATGGATGCCGTTCGCGAAATGTGTGCTCATCTTTGATGGCTCTATTTGTGAAACACGATCTGAAAGAAGTGTTGAAGTATATAGGGTAGAAATTTGGACCCCCCCCCCTCACAGACAGGGATAGAGAAATTAATTAATTTCTCTGTCCCGGCCTGTGATGGTTTTTGAAGTCTCTGCCACGGTCTGTGATGGTGTCTGAATTCTCTGTCACAGTCTGTGTTGGTTTTTGAAGCCTCTGTCACGGTCTATGATGGTCTGTGAATTCTTTGTCATGGTCTGTGATGATTCGTGAATTCTCTGTAATGGTCTGTGACGGTTTCTGAAGTCTCTGTAACGGTCTTCGATGCTTTCTGAATTCTCTGTAACGGTCTGTAGTGGTTTCTAGAGGCTTCATACATCACAATACAGACTGTAACAGAGAAGCTCCACAGACCATCAGTGACCGTGATAGGCGAACTCCAGAAAAGAAGTTTCATTGTGTTTCACATTTTAATCCCACAGGGATTGCGCTAACAGCTTTGTTGCTTCTAATGAATTATTCGTACTGGGTGTAAAGTTATTGTATCCTTCATACCATGAATCAAGATTTTTTTAACGATTTATCTTCGAAATATTGTGAAAAATCATGTTCTCTTTTATTCTATTTCTTCATAAATAATAATGAAGCATTTCTAAACATTACTTCTG